ACGTGTGTGGCAAATCCCAGTCATTTTTGTTGCTTTTATTATAGGGCTTAAAGATAGCACAGAAACTGCAATTTTATTTGAAAATACTGTTTTTGTGAAAGCTGTTATGTTAGTGCTGTCGAAAGTTTATTCTTTTTCATCACTGGTATCGGAACAAGTCGTAAGAGACATATTTAGAAGTTTCGTCTATTGATTTTTCCATTTTCATTCATATCATAACTAAAGCAAAGCGCGCGCTCTGATTGGTTAATTCAGCATCTACTATTTGCCCATGGGTGCATGCTGCTGACGTGAGCAAATGCTAAGATTATTTTTCCGCGCGCGCTTGTTTTTTCTGATCACGTAAGATTTGTTAAATAAAAGGGAACTCTTGTTCCAATGTATCAATGTTATGTTATAAAACAAATGGTAAACGCCATAGCGTGTACTACTGAGTTATGGATGCACGCGGAAAGTTGCTAAGCACGAAAGAAGCGTAAGAGTCGCACGAGGCGATAGCTGAGTGCGACTCTAGTTTCTTGAGTGCTTAGCAAACCTCCCAAGAGCATCCATAACTCAATAGTACACTTTAAGCCGTTCACCATTTCTTAAGGATAATTTATGTTTGACTGATACCTTTTTAGGAAAAGTCAAAATTAGCAAGCTATGGTTGAGAATAAAGTTTGGGTAAGATACTGGTATTTTGAGGAGGAATAGAATTTTGAGAACCTTATTCGTAAAAGGAAAGTTTTCAGTTAGATCATATTAATGTACTATATGTAATTGCTTTTATTTATAATGACTTATTATTATTATTACAAATGGCATAATAAAAAGATAAACTAAATAAACAAACAAACCAAAGGAAACACATACTTACAGCTCTCGATGTTTAAATTACAATGTTGTTCATCAAAGGGAAATAGCCGCAGGTCCATGGGACAGCTTGCTCGCACAGTGACTCTGAAAACCAAATAATTATATACGTAACGAAAAAAATTAGCAGAGGACTTCAAATGATTATGTGATCCAAGTATACTTTGTGTAGACAAAAGCTACTTCACAGAACTTGCGGAATCCTGTTGCTCACGTCCATATTTATGGTTGTTTTAAGCGGGTAAATGTAATCATGGAAGACGAGAATTCATGATAAAAATTTGGAAATTCTGGGTGGTCCACTTGCTGTTTGTCTTAGGAACTCGTATTAGATTTCTCACCACCTAATCAATCATTTAAAAAGTATTTTCATCTGTTTTTTAAGGCTTAAGACTTCTGTTAGCGAACAGCCGGCCGTCGTCAAGTTCTCCTCCCAAGCCTCTGCCATTTCTTGGACAGATTCATTGAGTGACGAATGGTTAATATAAGTCTCCTAGAAGGCGAGACTAAGTCCTTTCTATAAGTCAGGGACTTCTCAGCCTTTTGGATATAGTTTCCTCGTGCACAACTGCAGTTCAAAACTTTAAGCAGACGATCCAGAGGACAAGAATTATCCTGGAGGCCAACTATCATCTTTGATAGTTTCATGTCAGATCAAACTAAATGATATAACAACTCTTCAGTTTACCTTGCATTGTAATGGACTCCCCCATCTGGCGATATGGATAACAGCTTATTGACCATGGTAACTTTGTGGAATTTTGAGCTTTTGGAATTTTCAAAATAAGTGTCTGGAACCCAGAGCTTATCCATCATAGTGTTACCAAGCGCCAGTGTTTCATTCCAGTCGTGGCGTAATCGAGGATCTGTCCACAGTTGTCTTAAGAAGAAGTCCAGTTTATAATCCTTGAGATATACAAAAATAAAAAAGTAAAAAAAGATAAGGGTTAAAAATACAGATAACTATGCAAACTTCAAATCAAATTAACTCGGTGGAAGAAATGGTGGCCGAGCAAAAAGAATGCTAAACTCGACCTGTGTTCCATTCCAAGATGGGGCCGACGCGATCTTAGGCAACAAACTACTTACTCTCACAATAAAGGAATGAAAAATGTTTAATGTACACCTCAAACGGAGGTCTAGTGATACAAAGTTTAAGCCTTCACCTCTTTAGTCAATTTTAACCAATCCAATTCTCACGCAGTCATTTCATGTAAATTGATTTTAAATAATAACGTTTAGAATGAAACTATTTCTTTCAATCATTTTTGTATTCTTCGATGTTCATAGACATATTCTATATTTATCCTTTTTACTATTTGTATTACTATCTTATTTCGACTTCCAAATATTCTTAGGGCCATGAGTTTATCAGTTCTACGACTGTCAAATGTTACCTTCGTTAAAGAAATTTTAAGACAACTACTACTTCTACTACGGATACCCTCCCACGGTAGAATTATAAATGAAACCACGAACCTATCCTTAAGACCTGATGAGGTTTACGATCTCGCTGTAAATCTTAGAAAGGGTTACACATATTGCAAAATAACTTTAAAGTCGTAATATTCCCTTCACAAAAGAAGTTATACTATGAGATCCGTCCTACCATGTCAACAACGTTGATAGAGTCGATTGATAATACCCATAATCCAACGGTGATTACAACTGGTTGACCTGGCAATAATATGATGAATAATTCAGTAAATTTATGACAAAAAGCACGTAGCTCTTACTAAAAATCCTTTGTGACTGAGCAGTTTAACGGAAAGTCTATGTTGGTCAGTGGGTCCAAATTACCGGATGCTATTAATCCTTTAGCTAGATCAATTTTCAATGGAATGTCAAAAATAATACGGGGTATGCTTTGTTTTTGCTTTTACTTCGTTCTATGATTGGTCCAGAAACTTGCACTACTCTGTCAACCAATCAGATGGAATACTGAAACCATAAGGACTTTTGTCCCGCGCATTAGGCAGTTCTCATTGGTTCTTAAAGGTATTTACTCTCTTCCGATTGGCCGTTGTTATTACTTTGGTTAGCTTTAAAACTCTCAACCGAAAAGCCCTCAATCCTTAGAGTTATAAGTATGTAATCACTCTCCACAGTAACACCCTTGAAATCAAGCATCAAGGTCAGGATAATAAACGAATTGATTTGCAACCTTAAGAGTCACCACGACTCTACTAATACACTTAACTCTGACGCTATTTAAAAAGAAATAGGAACTATGTGCACCCATGGCTGATATTCAAACACGAAAGACTTTTTCTGCTTTTACATAGCCTCATCTAAACACCAGAGGAGTTGAAAGAACTCGAAAATATTCTACAAACTTGTCACGAAATTTAGGGTTTCATTAAAAACTTTTGGAATTCTCCTAACCCTTCGAGTGTCTAGATGAGGCTATGTAAACACGGAAAATGCTCTCTAAGTTTTTGCGAAATATTTCTCAAAAACAACAAGGTATGACGTCACAACCTGGTCTACACACTCTTATCTGAACACACAGATTACCCCATGAGAGCGTGCATGCTAACTGAATAACTTTATTTGGTGGCAAGGCTAAGAAGCTCAACCACTCTTTTTTAGCTGTATGATTTTCATGGGGGGTTTTGAACTTGACCGTGCAAAAGTTTCAACAACATTCCAATCACGTGGAACTGAATAGCCAATAGACACATCCCGTTAATTTACATAGTCACCGTGTGTGAAATAGAATAAAGATTGTGTAGGGTTAGGGAGCCACTGATCTAATCGAGAGCGCGGCTGCTTCCAGGTTTGATTTTCTTCAGCTTTCATAACCGCCACGGCAAATTTTAATATACCTTATTATATCCGAAGTACAACATGAGAGAAGAAAGGGAAAAAAAGGTCCATGTAAAAGAAATTATGCATTTAAGTTCCATTCTTCGATCGTAAATAATTGGGAATGCCTGGTTTTGTAAATTTTTTTTGATCCACACGATGATTAAATCTGAAGCAGGCTGAAAAACAACTGACAAACATTTTGAGCATTCAAGCAAACCTGTGTTTCAGTAATTAACTACACGAAGTAATTTCTAACGAGCTCGTTAGATCTCTCTTGTTTCCTTGAAAATGTTGGTGCAAATGGTTTAAACAAGAATTTCTCAAAACTTGAAACTAAGTATTCAAAACAATGGAAAGTTATGTTTAGACCACAATTAAGCCATGAAATAAAAATGAGGTCGCCTTAACGGAATGGTCAGATGGGCAATGAATTAAAAGATATCTCCTGGTTCATCAAAGCATAATTCAAAACTGCCTTGCTTACCTCCAAAGTTTGGCCGGAGTCTTTTGTCATAGCCTTTTATGAGTTTATTCAGAAGAGCTGTCATGTCATCTGCCGTTCGTCTGAAAATATTTACATTTTGAAATAATGAGTCCAGGTGTATTTCGCTTCAATTTTCACTCTGCTTGGAATTATTGGGTCAGCAACCAGGGGGTGGGTTATACCAAGAGACTACAACTTTAATGGAAACTGAAAGCCAAACCATAATTTGTGCATTCTTGAAAAACAGTGGATCAAGTTCTGATAAGGGCTACGGCTAAGCTGGGCTATCACAAATATTAATAACCCACTTAATCGCTCCGAAATTGAGAAATCTGAAGGTGCATAATGACATGAGGCAACGCAGAACTTATTAAACCTTTAGAAACAATTATAGACTAAATCTTAATCATACGAGGAACGATAAAACTACCGTGGGCAGAGTACTTTATAAATATGATGCTTTCGAGAAGCCGAACATAACATCAACTCTTATCAACATACTCCATGTGATTTCGAAGTTAATTTCAAATGGCGATAATGATGACAAAATGCAAATTTTGACGCGGTAAATGTACTCGGCATGTTTTCAGAATATAGAATACGCATCATTAAAACTCATCTTAAGCACTGCCATCGTCCTCCGCAAAACTAACTAAAGAAATGAAACAGAATGCTAGAGACCGAAATTTGATGGTAACATCTCAATAAAAGGGCAACAAGACATACTGCATGTAAAAAAAAAAGCGACAAACAACTTGTTTCTCAGTAGTCTGATAAAATTACTATAGTATTGCATTGTGAATATCGTTTCCATTAATGCGATATATCAAATACGAATGTACTTAAATGTTAATTTCTGTCGAAAATAACTCCTGCATTTTAGTGGCATCAGTCATAATTCGCTGAAGCATGACCAAACACGGGATTTGTTTTTAAGATGGGTCAATTTATAAAGAACTACATAAACAAATGGGTGCTTTTAGTCAGTTTCTGGTTGTTTTTGTCTTTTTATTTAACTATCCCTTATCAGAGTACTTTACTAGGGACAAGAAGGTTTTCATAAGGCAGAATGTTAGAAACACACGTTGAAAAATAATAGTGAATCCTTTCTTACCTTGCGTTCGAGTGAGCGACACTTAAACACAATCCCGCAACGAAGCATAAAATAAGCTTCTTCCAGCTTGATTTTAGAACAACCATGTTTGATATCACGCTAGGACTCTTCAAGGAAATGAGAGAGACCAGGAAAATATTAGATGACATTTATCCTCGGCTGGGAGGGATCTGATCTTTTATTTATTTTTTTTTTTTTTGCACAGTATGACGAAACATGCAGATCTTGTTTAATCGGCAAAAAAAAAAATCGTTTGACGAAAGACGATGATTGTGATCACGTGGTGCGTGGGTTCTATTGTCTGAGTCGTCACGGCAACATTTGTCTGGCGCTGGCTGGCGTACGTTAAAGATGTATAATACAATTATTTTTTCACGAGTATTCACTAGGCTTGAGGGGTTGGACCTTTAGGTTTAGTTAACAAAGGTGTATTTTACAAAAATCATATTTAAAATTGAAAATGTGAGGGAGGTTTTCTTAAGCTGTACCATTTAGATTAGTTTAGTTGTAGTGTCCGTCATAATCGGGTTAACTTCATGCATTCCAGAAATTTTCTAACATGTCACATTCATACATGTTAGTTTCGCAATCGTTTTAGTATGAATCAATCTAAGGCCCTCCACAGACTAGAGATTTAGTTGTCGACAACTATTTGTTATCGACCACTAAAAGTTATCGACAACTAAATAAGTCCGATAAAGGAATTTCACACACTGGCGCTCAAATACTGATTTAGCAACCGATACACGGGGAGGTTGGGCACCAAGAGCTTACTGTGCATTCTCCGTATCGCCATAACACCATATATATAGCAACTCTTTCATCGACATCAATGGACTGCCTCATTCTTCTCGTTTCTCGGTGAATATAAGGGATTAATCTTTCAACAATAAGAAGAAACGTACCCCTGTCTACTCGCAAATTGGTGATAAAATNTTCGATTCATCTAATGAACTTGGATCTATACTTGCCAGCCATTCTGACTCTTCGTCGTCGGAAATATGATTCAAATTGTCCGCCATTTGTTTTTTTTTTCCTAACTACAATCCAATTCTTCGCTTGCGCGGTGCGAGAAAACCAGTTTAACCGGTACTACAATAGACGAGTACAAATACCGCGTGATATTTGTACTCGTCTATGGCGTTATATGTACTCGTCTAGGTGTAGTTGGATAATAATAGGATTTAAAGCTTTCCACAAAAATGATATTTTTTGTGAAGTAATTTCAACGGTTTGTTGCGCAAGATTTCAAAGTTGTGCAAGCTCACCAGTTATCATCGGATAGGAAAATCTTTTGCGTGTTCCGCAGTCATCTATTGCTAAGCAACTAAGAAACTTTTAAGGGAATGGCAGATCTTGAACGTAGAAAGTCGTCGTTAATGAATACTAGGGACCTTAAGCAACCACAACGGCGACGGCAACGAGGACGTGGAAAAACAAGAGATCTAATTGGCAGAACAATAGCTCAGCACGTGCATTTTGAAACTTTGTACATTTCTTAGCCGTCTTATGCAAAACAACAACGTGAAATCGCCAAAATTTGCGTCGTCTGCGAACCGAAACCGCGACGGCAAATATTTTAATTTCCATTTGGAACTCAACGCTACTTTTATACGTCATATTGAAGTTGAACTGTGGTGCCGTATGAGACAGTAAACTCGTGCAGCTATTTTTGAAATTCTAACTAAGTGTAGAAATTCATTTTTTGATCGAAGTCTTCCTTGGCATTGCCGTCCTGACTGCTTAAGGTCCCTATTAATATTCACTTGAGGTGAATGACGTCAAGCGAGGAACATTTAATTTTGTAAACTCTCTGGTTCTGTACAAGTTGACTGTATTTGTTAACGAGGCACAACTTTATTTCGATTATCGCAGGATATGTATCTGACAAGCATATTACAAGGCGAATACGGCAGGATACGACAAAAATGATTTAATCTCTAGGATTTATACCAAAGACATCGTATTTTAATGATGTACGTGTAACATTTTTTTTTTCATCTTAATGCATGTAGTTGGCAGAGTCAAATTAATTTGCCACAGTGGAGTGGTTAAAGATGCATGTTTTTTGCTGGGGCAGCAAGGAGTTGCTGAAATTATACAGTACAACATACCTCACCATTAGTATCACATAGGAGCTATAACTTGCAATTGCGCAGAGTTGTCGTACTCACCTGAAAAGAAATTAATCTCTCTTTCCAACAACTTTTGCTTTGGTTCTTATGCTGAAGGGAACTTCTCACACATGCACACAGTAAGCGAAATATCACTGCAGTAGATTTATTTGCCTTTTATCTGGTTTCCGTTTTCTCCTCCAAACCTAAATTAAAACAGGTTTCTTGAAATTACTCGTCTTGTAACGCGTCTAGCTGTTATCCACTCGATTAGACCTTTTCATCACACTATTATACAGTATACAATATACAAATACAAAATTAATGAACAAACATCTATTCTTCAACGATTCTTTGGTTGGCGGAGGACGTATTAGCGCCAATCACGTGCTAATGAGTGTTTTAAATTGCGTTCTCCTGTTAACAAGCACTTAGGACAAGTCTTTAACGCCTAGTTTCGACATCATGAAGGAAGACGAAGGGAGACAGCTGAAGACGTTTGCTTCTTTTCTCTGTTCATGATGTTCATACCTTCTGGAAAGAGGATTTTAATTGAGATTTTAATAATAAAAGGCTTTATTTGCCTGTTTTTTTTTAAGGTTATTTTTGCGAACTGACTAAGGCTATTCTTAAAAAGCGAAGGCATTTTCATGATGTATATTTCATCATATTCATAACATCCTTAGTTTTCACAAAGCACAAATAAAACAACATACAGGTAATGGTGTCATTAACACTCACAAAATATGCAGCTTAAACCAGTCCTCCTCATGCATAGAACAAAATATCTTGCGTACCCCGAAAATTCCGCGAAACATTTAATATGAACTTAACTCTCTTGAAGAAGCCCTAAACAACGAATCACTCGTGTAAATTTTCGTCGGTCATTACTTCTCCACAATAATCAAAGTAAAAAAATATTCATGAATTAAATATCGTTTTCTTCATAGAAATACACGTACAGAAAAAAATTCGGTCTGTCCTTGATACTCTAGACGCTTCTTTGATCCTCTTTCTTTCCTATTGTGCTAGTTATACTTCTTCGCACTGAAATCTCCAAAATAAAAGATAATACTTCTGATTTACAAATAGCAGAGAGTATAAATTAAAACCTAAACAGAAGCAAATTTCACAATAAATAATATTTTGCCGTTAAAATAGTGTCATTTACCAAGTTCTTCCTCTACTCTAGGGGGCCCAATTATCAAACGTCCTGCAACTTACCGGTTCCGAAAATTTGTTTTTGCATGCTGTGTTTACAATGAAAATCGAAATAACATACGATATAGCAGGACATAAAAACAAAAATAAAACGGGATTTTAGCTAAAGTTCGATCTTTTGCTCCTTAGATTGAGATCTTAAAATATGGCTTTAGACCCGTATATAGTAACCGGGACTTCCAAGAGAAAATGACCACGGAGCATAGATGTTCAAATCCTAGACACAACAAGCAATTAGCTATATCTGGCCACGTGGGCCAACGTGGGCACATATGCAAAGAGAGCGTATAATCTCGGCGTTTCCATTCAAAACTGTTTTATCTATAACTTAAAAAAATATGATGTTGTTTTTCTAATTTTTATTACATGTTTTAATCTGATACACATTTACATCCAGAAAAAGGAATGTTTGGAAAAACCGCTAAAACTTACAATAGCGAAAGGAGCATGCATAATTAACTATGATCATTTTCAAAAATTAAGAACGGAGAAGGAATAAGTAAAGAAACGCAATGACTGAAGCAAACAAATGATTGACTGCTTAATTGGAACCGAGATGTTTTTTGTTGATGTATCTAGTCTTCATGCTGGTTCTACAAGAAGTTTGGCAGCGGCGAAATCGGGGATTTCAAAATAATTTGTAATGCAAGATTTTGGGAGTTTCACTTGCTTTGTAGATGTCCGAAGATGTGAGAGGTCCATTATGAAGAAATTAAGGATACTGTTAGACAAATTTCGATGAGTTCCTCGTTTGAAAAAAACCTTTTAAACATACAACAAGGAAAGTATTATTACCTTCAAAAATTAATGATGGGGAAGGAAGGCGTAACAATGGCTAAAGCATAAGGTTGGCTATAGAGGTTAGACAATTCACGTGAACGAAGACCTCTTTTAAAAATCTATCACTTCTCAGCTTTTTTTTTCATTTGAAGATGGCAAATCCTAGTCTGGTAAAAGATCATATATAATAATTAACAATTATTCGCCGAAGGCGAGGTGAATATCGTCGAATAATCCCCGAGACGAAGTCGAGGGGATTATTCGACAATATTCACCGAACCTGAGGCGAATAATTGTTTTAGTATAATTTCAGAGCTGAACAACAGAGAAATTTCTAAAATCATAACATTTTAGTAACATTTATTAACATTTTA